TAAATGATAAGCTATTGATGAATGACAATTGTACATCTGCATTCCTAGAAATTATTACCATATGTATCCCCAATCCTTTCATATTGACTTTTATTCTATGTTCTTTTTTTCTTTCTTCTCACAACACGTTATCAGCACGAAAATTTAATTTTTCAAAGTTTTAGAGAACGTAATAATTTTTTAAAACATAATCATCTCTCAAGTGTACCAAAATTAATTTTGTGACATGCGAATGTTTTTTTACATGTACACGGCTGATTCATAGCCAATCTTTCCGCAGCTAATTGTACCGAACTTCGTGTAAATCATAACCCTTTCTGATACAATTATTAGGGTTATATGAATTTGAGTCAATTATCATTGTTATTATAATAATATTTGCCGCAGAAACTATTTGGGTAGAACCAAATTGAATCAAATCCACTTTTGCGGCAGAAACAAATTGCGGCGGAAACTATTTGCAAAATTATCATTATATGATTCAATTTGGGCAATCAAGAGCACTATTATTATATTAATTTTTTACTCTATGCTCTAATTCATGTACGTAAATTATTAAATACTCCTTGCCTTTTGGCATTAGATGTATTAGTTCATGTTTTAATTCATGTACTATTTGCTTTAATTTTTTTCATGGTAATAAAATATACGTTTATGATGAATATTAAATGCTCTTTGTGTCTTTAACATGATTAAATATTTTTAGATGTTCTTATATATATTTTAAATTATAATTTATCATGTTATCGTTCCTGAAGTATCACAACTTTATAATTAATTCCAAAAAAATATTTATCGTAAATCTATATATTATAAATAGTTTGTTGTTGCTCTTAAAGTAGCACAACATTATAATTAATATTTTCGAAGAATATTACTTGTTCCTGAAGAGTATGCATTATATTTTTTAATATTCCAAAAAATTATTGACATGTTGCTCTTGAAAAAACAATAATAAAATATAACGTGATCTCAAAATAGCACATGTTTTGAAAAATATATTATTTTAAATTAATATTTATCCCTTAAGAAAAACACATAACTTATGTCATTTGATAGTGACTACTTGATGTTTAATCATATT